AGCAATTAGGGGTAGTGGGTGGGTGCTTAGGGTGGCTGTTATGGGAGGGGGTCAGGAAGCCTGGGCTTTACCTCTGCCAGTATCCACCTGTGCAACTCTCATTAATTTATTCAACATGCATTTAATGTCTCCCATGTGCTAGACTCTGTGCCACTGGGGACACAAGGAGTGGTGGCACTAAGGGGTGACTGGGGAGAGGCTTCAGCCCATGCAGAATGGCCGTCAGCACACTTCCCCGGAGCCACCTCAGGCTGATGGCGTGACAGCTTAATTTGCAGAAGGAAAAAACGAAGTAAAGGCTATAATTTACAGTTGGGATAATTGGCCAACGTTAGGAAAGGAAAAAATTCTAACATACAATCTATGTAAAAATAGCGTGCTTGCTACGCAAACTCAGCTTCAAGATTCGGTCGCAGCTGCCATAGGCCCGCCTTGCCTTTCTAACCAAGCAACTGACCCTAAACTTCTCCGGAACAGGATTTCTAGAGCTTCCCCAAGACATAGCGGGTGAACAAAACAGACTTGGGATCATCTTTGCTGAGTTTAGTTTTGCTGCTGGAGCATCAAGCAATCAGGGACTTGTGACCCAGCAAGACGGAGACCTGGATGGGGGAAGCCAAGGAATGGTGAGAGCACAGAGGAGTCCTCTGACCCAGGCTGGAGGACGGGCAAGGCTCCCCTGAGGAACCATATAGTAGACGCCCCTTAAATATGTACTGAAGAATTACAGGAAGTGCCAGCTAAGCTAATACTTGAAGCATGAGGTACAGTGAGCCAGACTGGCCCAGGAGGGGAAAGGAATTTCAGGCAGAAAGGCTGATAAGAGCCCAGAAGCTGTTGAGAACTTGGTTCATTTGACTTGGCTAATTTGGAAAACTGAAGCTAAAACTCCTTTGGCCTGGCTGGGTGGGTTGGCTTCCCAGAATTGCTGCTTCCTGTTGGAATTGGTCTTGGAGACCCCCTAGTGCCTGCTTCCCACCACCCAGCTGCAGACCAGTGCTGGCAGCATAGTCTCCTCCGGAAGCCTCTTCCATATAGAACCCGGCTCCTCCTCCCTGAGAATAAGCCAGTAAGCTGGGGACCCAGAAATCTGCATGACTTGACAAGAACTTTGAGGCTCTCCTGTGCTATAAGGCATGGCAATCTTACATTGAAGGCTCCAGAGAGTGGAGAGCCAGAGAGGGCAGGGGTATACGTGAGATCACATGGGAGCCTGGGCTCTTAACTACCTGGACTGAGAAGTCCCTTCACTAGTGTAACCCTTGCCTAATAGGCCTTTTTCTGTACTCTCTTTCTTCTTTTTTTTTTTGATGGGGGTAGGGGTGGGGTTGGTAGAATACTGAGCCCTGACAGCTCTGCCCAAGTGGGGGCACAGCATTCCTGAGCTGATCCCAGTCTGGCAGATGGGGCTTGATAGGGCTAAGATAGGTGGGGACAAGGAGCAGAGGAAGCTGGAGGGCCTGGAACTGGATGGATGGAGGGGCTAAGGAGGCAGGCTTTCTGATATGCCCCCCATATTTAGGCAGGTGTGGTAGTACTGGTGGGGAATGGAAGCTCAGTTTCTAATTAAGCCCAGCCCTTGTGTCTCCTTGCTCTCCATTAGTGCCCCACAGTGTCCCCAAGGCATTTTAAGCTGCCACCCTGCTGAGGAGGCCGGGAAGGCTGCCAGGGCCTGCCAAGCTTAGACCTATGAGGAGCAAAAAGCCAGCTCAGGCTTCTCCTGTCCACGGCAGTCTCTGGGTCCTCCAGCCTCCTCAGAAGCCTGGGGCCAGTGGGCAGGGGTGTGCTGCTGCCTGCCATGTCAACCTCTGGGGTTCTGAACAGAATCTGGACTGTCTCCCATGGGGCCTTGTCCTCAGTACCACTTCCTGATCCTGAAGTGCCAGGCTGAGGACAAGGAGCAGGACCTAGTATTGGTTTCAGCCGCAGCCCCCAGACTCAGGGATGTGCTGTTAGAATCCAGCACCTACCAAGGAGTCTGCAGGAAGCAGCAATTACCATTTTAGGTTAAGGCAGCCCTGGTTTGTTAACCCTTGCAGCACTGGAGCTCCTGGAAGCCGAGTCGTCCTTCCTCTCTTTTCTCCTCCGGATCTTCCCTCCCAGACATCATCCCTCAGTTCTTGGCAGAGTGAGCAACCCAGATTTGCCATCCCCAGGCTCCCTCTATCACCACATTCTCAAGTGGAGCCCAGAGAGGTGGAGCAGCAGGTCCAAGGTCACACAGCCATGGAGGCAGCCTCCATTCCCGAGACCCAACATTACCCCAGTCTCAGTGGCTTCCACCTTCACAATCTCTCTAGGCCACATTCACACATGCAGAGTTTAATTAACTTTATTGATATTCAGAAATTAGGAGAATGACTAAAGGTAATTGCTCATTAAAAATCATTAAACTGACACAGCAGGCTCGGCATACGCAGCCCCTTCCACACTGCCTTCTTCCTTCACTGTGGCTGGATCGCCCAGGCACCCCACACAGCTTGGGAAGATATCCCGTGACCCAAGGCGCCCCTGGTGCCTGACGCCAATTGAGCCTTGGAGGCTGCAGAAGGGAATAGGGGACTGAGCATGTGAGGTTGGGCCAGGCCCAGCACGATCTCACCCTACCTCCGTAGCCTCAGCACACCAGGCCTCCTGAGGCATCTGGGCCGTGCCTGGTTACATCCTGCAGCCTGCATCCCGCCTATGAGCAAAGCTCTGAGGGCCTCATCAGAGAGGTGGCAGGGCCGAAAGGCTGAGGGATGCACTCCTCTGGCCGAAAAGGCTCATAGCCCAAGGCCTTTGCTCCTTTAGGCTTGCCTTCACAAAGCTAAAGTGCCCAGGGACCCTGGGATGGCCAAATGTGCTGCTCCTCAGTGAGATGACTCACTATCCCAATGTCTGGGAACTCCAGCCCAGCTGAGGAGAGAGGAGCCTCTGGTCACCCAACTCTGACATCCCAGCCCTCTCACCCTCAGGCTTGGCACTTCAGGGCTGCTGCTGCTTCTCCCTTGGGGAGTGAAAATAAAGGTCTTTCCCAACAGCCAGACTCCTACCCCACATATCTCATGGGCACTGGAGATCCTGATAGTCGGGAAGGGACACTGCCCAGGGACACACAGACTTGAGGCCACAGAGTGAGCAGGCTCCTCCTAATACCCACACCCACATCCCAATCAGGGCTGGTCGGATCCCTGGTCACACCAGCCTTCCTTCTGGATTCCCATAGTCTCGCTCTAGCCCTTCAGGGAGCTCTCTGGCTGAGGCTGCACCCACACACTAGTGGCCTCACATGGTCCTCACACCTGTTCACTGCTGACCCCTCACCCAAGGTTTGGACCACCTGAAGTGCAGACACACTGGGACTGGCTCCTCTAGGCATGCAGGGCCCTGATTACTCTCACATTCAGACTCACAGACTCACACACAAGGCCTTGACTACTTGCCAGGGGACAGGGCCCTGTGCCCCAGGGGAGCTGTCCAGCGCCAGGACCCATCAGGACCCAAGATAGGTTCGGAATTCCTAGGGACATTCTCAGGCAGCTGGGCAGGGATTCATGCTTCTCCTTCCTGGTTTCCGTCCCTGGCGTGGGGCTTGCAGGACTCTTTCCCTCTCCCCAAAAGTGAGCACACGGTTTCAAGTTCTGGGCACTGCCGGAGACCCAGCGTGGGCAGACGGGTGGTGGGGCGAGGACACTGGGCTGTGTGCAAGTGGAGCTACAGGCTCAGAAAAAGGCTTCTGCGTCTCTGGGGCCGCAGTTTTTCTTCCTGGATGAAGAAAACTGCCATCCAGCGGCCCAGCCTGTCCCTGGCCGCGCTGCCCTGACCTCGGCAGCGGCCTGAAAAGATCGAGCAGGAAAACTCCCACCCTCACACTTCTCCACATCAGACGCTTCAAACCATATGGCAAGGGACGGCAGGTCTCAACTCCAAGTGAGGTTCTGCCGACGACCCTACCAGCCGACTGGCTGCAGCGGGAGAAGGACGTGGGTGCCAGTAGCTTCTATGAGAGCTTGTTTGAGCCGGGACGGCAGGTCCAGACAAGACTCTTCCCAGAGGCACGGAACCCCTATCCTCTCCCCAGCACTCCCTTGCCACTCACACCATTGCCAAGCTTCCCTTTACTCCAGACCGATGAAGTTGGGGACCAGACTCCTAGAGGGGGCGCGGGGATTCTCAGGGTGTGGGGAACAGGTCCTCCAGAGACAAATCTGCCGCGCAGGTGGGGAGTGGATCGGGGCCAGGCAGGAAGGCAGAGCTCGGGGCAGTGGTGTGTGTATGCGTGTGTGTGTGTCTGTGTGTGTGTCTGTGTGTGTACAAGGAAAAGACTTTGGGGAGGACAGAGTCTCTATCCCAGGATCTCCGCTGCTGCAGCCCAGGGCAGAGCTAGGAGCTAGATAGGGGGCCCAGGCCCTCGGAGTTTCTCTCTAGAATTGTGCTCTAGGTCCCGACTCTGGCGTGGCAGCGCCAAGGCATGGGGAGGTAAGGGAGGTCCCAACCCCGGGTCCGGCCGCCATCCGGCCCAGTCTCCCCGCAATAAGAACACGAGAGGCCCCGGAACCGGCGGCAAAGTCGAGCGAAGTTTGGCGGGCGGCAGGGGAAGCGGGACCGCGGGTCGCCAGCTGGACCGTCCCGACTCACTGACCTGCGCCCCCCGGCACGCGCCCCGGCGCCCTGAGACGCCTAGAGTGTGGCGAGGTAGCGCGCGGGTGAGCGCGTGTATGCGGGGAGTGGGTGGCGTGATGAATTGCAGCAGAGAAATCCCATTAGATCTGGGGAGATGATTAAAGGCGAGGTCTCGGCTGGGCGCGAATGGCGGGAGCCGCGGCAGCTTCCCGCCCGCGAAGCCCGCGAAGCCCGCGCCCCGCCCGGCTTGGCCGGCGCCGGGGGCAGCGCAGCCGGCGGGGCGCGGTGCTTGGACTGGGCAGCCAGATGCCCAAAGCTGGGCACCGGGTCTCCCTTCCCACCTCTGGGGCCCCGCTCCCGCCCCCGTCCTGCCGCCGAACGCCGGAGTCCCTTACCGTGAGCTAGGAGCGCCAGCAGCGAGGGCAGAAGCAGCAGGGCTGCCGGGCGCATGGTGCTGGTTGCGGCCGCGCCCCGGGCTGGGACCGCGGCGGGAGGGCGGGGGGCTTGGTGGGGCTTGGGTGCGTGGGCAGAGCCAGGTCCGGCCGGGGAGAGGGAGCGGGGCCGCCGCCGTCACCGCCACTGCCGCCGCCAGCGCCTGACAGAATCAGCACCACGGCCAGCGCCTGGCGTCGGCGCCGGGGATCGCCGCGCCGGGCTGGGGGCGGGGGCGCGGGAGGAGCTGCTTACCGTAAAGTCTCAAGCAAAGGCGCAGAGACCCAGGGGCAGGAACCCAGGCTCCCGAGCCACCGAGACTGCCCTACTCATGTGGGCACACGGCCCCTGTCCTTCTGCGCTGCCCACACCCAGTCAAGCATGCCACTCTCTCTACCGTTAACAACCTGCCAAGGAGGTGGATTGTCTTCTGATTCTCCATGAGAAAGAGCAACACCTTCCCCACCCCTCTCCACCCAATCCTGGTACCTGAGGGCATCAAGGGTGACCTGGGAAGACATCCGAGAGTGAGGCAGCTGGTGAGGCTCGTGTGCCCTTGTGGCAGTTCCGTCTTGGGCCGATAATGAAGATGGCTTTTGAGCTTACAAAGGACAATAAATTATTACTTTGTGCTCAATAAATGCCAGGGCTCCAGGCAGCTGCATCAGCAGCAAACTGTGCTCACAGAAAAGCTTAATTATCCTGATATTACAGTTAAAAGCCAGTGGCATTCGCGTCTTGGGGAGATATTCTTCACTTGGCAGGAGGCAACCCGGGCCAAGCTGTGGGCAGCTGAAGGTAGTATCCTGGGTCCCCACGTAGCCCTGGATCTCCAGGACTCTGCCTTGGCCCCTGTGCAGGACGAGAGAAGCCACAATGACAGTCAGTACAGACCCTTCCCATGCCATCTCTGTCCAGGTTTCTGGAACTGGTGGAGAAAATGGGATAGGCATGAGACAGGGTTTCCTAGAGCTGTTTTATTTTATTTTATTGTTTTTAGAGACAGGGTCTCTGTTGCTTAGGCTGGAAATGCAGTGGCACAATTATATTAATAGCTCACGGTAACCTCAAACTCCTGGGCTCAAGAGGTCCTCCCACTTCAGCCTTTCGAGTAGCTAGGACTACAGGCATGCGCCACGAAGCCCGGCTAATTTTTAAATTTTTTGTAGATATAAGGTCTCACTATGTTGCCCAGAATGGTCTTGAACTCCTGGCCTCAAGTGATCCTCTTGTCTTGGCCTCCCAAAGTGCTGGGATTAAAGGCGTGAGCCACTGTGCCCTACGGCTGTTTTAGATAGAGACTTGAAGGAGGCCCAGGGGAGTAGGCTGTACTATTAAAGGCATGGAAAAATAACTTTCCAGGGCCCTGCTTGGGCTGAGGAGCCCCAGTGAGTCACAGGACAGCAAGGGGGAAGTCACAACTGTGCCATCCTGAGGCTCCTCTTTAAAGGCAGGGGCTCATGAATGGGCTCACTTGAAGAGCTTTAATGGGTACAATGGGACAGGATCCTATGGCTGATATTATTATTCCCTGTAGAGAAATAGGAGGGCTGAACTCCCTATTGTCCCTGGGAGAAGGGCAGTTTTTTGTTTAGTTCTTTTCTTTTCTTACTTTTTTTTTTTTTGAGACGGAGTCTGCACTGTCGCCTAGGCTGGAGTGCAGTGCCGTGATCTCGGCTCATTGCAAGCTCCGCCTCTTGGGTTCACGCCATTCTCCTGCCTCAGCCTCCCGAGTAGCTGCGACTACAGGCGCCTGCCACCATGCCCGGCTATTTTTTTTTTTTTTGTATTTTTAGTAGAGACGGGGTTTCACCGTGTTAGCCAGGATGGTCTTGATCTCCTAACCTCGTGATCCGCCTGCCTCAGCCTCCCAAAGTGCTGGGATTACAGGCGTGAGCCACCGCACCTGGCCTTGTTTAGTTCTTTTCATATGAATTTGGCTCCTCTCCAAAGCTTCCAGACTCCAGTCATTGTCCAATGCCCTTCCTGACCTCATCCTGGAAGCAGGTGGTGAAATTTCTGCTCAGGTTCCTTAGTGTTTTGGTCCTCTTGGCCAGAGTCTCCCAACTCTGCTGGTTGGATTCTCTCCAGACCCTCTTCTTGTGGGCTCTGGGGAGCTGTGATGACTGCTGTAAAGAATCCCAGGCAGCAGGCAGATGGCATGTGGAATTAGCAATACGCTGGGATTTCTGGACAGTTGTTTTGAGAAGCTAAGGAAAAGGAGGGCAGTAGCAGAAGGATGGCAGGAAGAACGAGGAGTCAATGAAAGAATCAGGGGTGAGGAGAGGAAACCAGGAAAGAAGGTGCAAGACGGGAGGCAGAAAGAGAGTTGCCAACAGAGGAAGGGAAGAGGCACAGAGGTAGAAGAAGAGGTGGCTGAGGGAAGTTTAGGGAAATGCTGGCAAATGTCATGAGATTCCTCCTTTCCTCCTTGAAAGTATTCCTGGGCTCCTCTAGTATTCCTGGTCCCTCATGACTAGGCAGCTTGGGCAAGGGGAGTGAGTCATGACCTAGCGATGAAGCTTGTATGCCAGGATGATCATGGGGAGTTGGTGGCAGGCTTGTCTGACTCTTTTAGCAACAGGGCTCCTTAATGCGCTGGGCACTATGCATATAAAGAAGGAGAAGAGAAGACATCCTGGAACTTGCCATATCACCTTCCCTATGGCCTGAACTAACCTAGAGGGTCTAATAGAGACTACAAGTCCCAGAATACAGCACTGCACCTTGAGCTCAGAAGATGGGCTTGTACTGCATGATGGGCATGACAATGCACCAGGGCTGTCCCTCCCTCCTAAAGGCAGTCAACATAGCCTTTGTGCAGTGGGTTCCTAGGCAGGTTGAGGCAGAGCCTAGGCCAAACTGGGAAACAGCAGAGCTTTTGTCAGGTGCCCTCTGTCATGCCCTCCAAGGGACTTGTCCTAACCCGACCTTGATATTACCTACAAATTGAGAACAATAAAATGCCCAAGGGGACAATCAGCTGTATACAGGGCTGGCAGGCTTATAGTCTACTCAGTTCATAGGCACCTTAGAAAGTGGCATTCTGGGTGGATTTTCAAGGCTCCCCTCACTGCTCTCACTTTTCCTGTTCTCTGCGTCCCCCACCTGGCTTTTTGCTCCCAGAGAACCCTGGGCTTCCCCTGTCTGTGTAATTGCTTGCTTAATTGTCTGTCTTCTCTACTAGTTGTTGACTTTGCGAAGGCACAGACCACCTCTGTCTCATCTACCCACAATCTAGCTCAGTGGCTGGCACATAGTAGATGTTCAATAAATATTTGTGACTAAGCGACGGGGATGAGGAGTGTCTAAAGCCCAAGGCCGGTCATTGGTGCCAAATGAGTGCTGTGAGATAATGAAGAAGAGGACAATTGTTTCTTTTGGGGATGAGGCAAGGTCAGCGATATCTTCACACAATGAATGGGTGAAACCAAGTTGAATATGTTTTTAAAAATTAATTAATTAATTTTTGAGACAGGGTCTCACTGTGTTTTCCAGGCTGGGATACAGTGGTGTGATCAGGGCTCACTGCAGCCTCGACCTCCTGGGCTGAAGTGATTCTCCCATCTCAGCCTCCTGAATAACTGGGACCACAGGTGTGCACTAACATGCCCGGCTAATTTTTTACTTTTTTGTAGAGATGAGGTCTCCCTATGTTGTCCAGGCTAGTCTCGAACTCCTGGGCTCAAGTGATCCTCTCTCTTTGGCCTCCCAAAGGACTGGGATTACAGGCATGAACCACTGCCCCTGGCCCAAATACGTTTTATGATTCAGTGGAGAGGGAGAGGGAAGACATTCAAAGTTGGGGAGTGTGGTTTATGCAGAGGCACAGTGGTGGAAAACGCAAGCTAGTCTGGAGTCAGTGAGAAGCCTGGTTCTGCTCGAGCAGAGTCCCTGCTGGGACGTAGGAGAAAGGGCTGGAGTAGGCTGGGGCCTGGTTGTGAGAGGCTTTGTGGTCACCTGAGCTGAAGGACATCCTTGGTGGCGACACTGAAGGGATTACCCCATCACAAAGATATTTGCACTGAAACAGAGCAGTCTGGCATCATTAAGGTATGTTTTCAAGCACTATGGCAAGTGGTAGGAACTGTGGGGTTCACTGCTGACTCAGAAGCCAGGGGGTGGGGTGTGTGTCTGAGCTACAGTGACTGAATTAGGATTGAGAGCCCAGAGAGAAGGAAGAAGGGGCTATTCAATCCCAGAGACCCCAAGCCCTGTCCAGACAAAGTCAGACATACTTACAGCCCCTATCCTTGGAGAAGCCAGTTTCACTTCCCCAGTTCCTGTAGGATCACAAGCACATTGGTGACTTATTTTGAAGTCTCCGCTGAGATGACACTTGCTTTCTGTGCAAGAGGAGGAGAAAATTACTCTCTTCTAAGACAGCTTTCAAACCAGAGCTATATCTTTTGCGGAGCCAAAGGGGTTTTGGGGTTTCAGGGAGGTAAGGGCAGGGGCTGCCACCTCACTCCAGAGGCTCCCAGGGGTACAGAGCTGCCTGCTTACCTCAACTCACTTCGTGGAGCAGGCTTCCAGACTTTGCAGTGCCTGGAACAGTCAGGGATGCTAGTGCTCCAGCCAGTGCTCCCTGCATTACCCAAAGTCAACCCACTGAATTTAGGGGCAGAATGAGGGCCCTGCTCTGATAAATGGAGAGCCCTGGCTCTGGGCATTTGCTTCTGCTCCAGGAGCTGGACCAGATTGGCTGTAGGAAGAGCCCAGAGTAGATGGAGACAGCAGCAGAAAGTGGTTTGATGTGAGCTACTTTCCATCTCCAAACAGAGGCCTCCAGCCTGCCCACCACCCCCAGCTGAGGCCTTTGATCCTCCACAGCTCCATAAATGTTTAATGCCACCGGCTGGGCAGAAATGAGGCAGGTGCTGAAACAGGGAGACAGGGGATAGGACTTAAGATGTACAATGTTGGCTAGATTATTTTCACATTGGAACTCTGGGATGGATGAGAGGAGGCTTTTCCCCATCATGTGGCAGGAGAAGTCCCAGGATTCAAATTTGTGGCACTAATAAAGAAACTCTTTGAAAACCACCAAGGGGCTGAAAATAAAATGAATAATCAATTGCAAAAGCCCAATCTCTGGTTTGATTGAAGGAGAAAGATGGAAAGTTAAATGACAATCAAATGCAAATACAGCTCAACAAACACCACAGCAATTACCAGGCGCAGGAACCACATGGTGCTTGCAGGCAGCGGGGG